GGGGGGGGGGGGGGGGGGGGGGGGGGGGGGGGGGGGGGGGGGGGGGGGGGGGGGGGGGGGGGGGGGGGGGGGGGGGGGTCGAGGGAGTTTTCATTGTAACTGGTCGTTGACTGTCCTCCTCGGCCATTGTGTCGCCAACATAGTTGTGAGAGTGAGCTTGCCTGTGGTTGGTGGAACTCTACAGAGGACTCTCCGGCTGGCTTTGTAGATGCGCATAGAGATGCTGCTGGACAGGATGATATCTTAATGACGGAGCTTCGCAGATCTCTAGGGTACACCGGCGCTCGGTCAGACGACATACACTTGGTACACATGAACAAATGCAGCGATAATGGTTGCAGTCCAATGAATTTCGTCCTCACCATTTCAGGAGCAGTACTCATTACATCTGTCGGACTGAAAAAACTCATGAGGCGCACCCACTCATCTCGCACAAACAGCACACGGAATGGCATCTATCAACCACAACCAAGGACGGGCATAATCCGATCAAACCTCACGCTTCTCACTCACCATCACTCACATTAACTTTGTCGACGAAAAAAAATAGCGACAAACGACAAACAGTTCACCCAAGCCCGTATGTTCAGCTCCTCACCCCCCATTGGACCGCGAAACGTTGTTTTCTTTGTTTCTTGTGTGAAAGAACGACACAAGAACACGGGCAATTAGCCCCCAACCACTCCTGTCATGAGCACAACGCAGTAGGTGAGCTCACGAGAGCCGAAAGCTCGCCCGCAGAGCTGAGGACCTGTTTTTCTCACCACATAATGAAGCCACCAAGCCACCAGCCATCACAAATAATGCGTGGGGATCGTAGGTTTGCAGCCCCTCTTCAAGATTTGCGTCGCTTGCCATGATGCAGTCTCCTTGCTTCATCATGCCTGAGGTAGCCTCTTTCTTGCCTCTTGGGGGAAAGAAACCCCACGCTGCCAACAGCATCACGGATACAAGATCCCACAAACAGCGATGCATGTTCGGCGACATCAGCTAAGCTAATCTGAATTGATCTCCAACAACAAAAACGGTTACCAACCGCGCTCGTCGGCTATCTTGATGAACACCGTCCTGGCGTCGTCATCGTCCGCTCCCATAAACCGCCCTACTGCCTGACCTCTATCTCCTGGGAACAGAGCCTCGCCCTTTTCACGGCGACCAGCGCGATGTGATAAGGGTGGGGAGCCGGGGCCGATGACACATGAAGCGTATATACGATGGGCAGTTGCGGACAAAATTCGCATGCAGTTCGAATGCCTGCGCACTGTTATCTGTATTGACTTTCACTTGGCAGGTTTGACCGCACGAGCCTGCACCGACGTCATGGGAGAGCACAGTTAGCAAAGCAATCCGTAAGCGTACTGAGTGTCAGGCAGAACAGCCGTGTAACTGTTCAGATCTTGCTTCACCTCTTTCCTTTGCTCCGGACAGCTGCACTCACCGTTTGTTGAGATTCCAGGCACGGGCCACAGAGGAGCGGGCCGGGGCCCTGGGGCTCTATCTTCCTCGTGTACACGCGGCTTTTCGTAGGCAACAAGGCGCACGGCAAAGCGTTTCTCGCGGAGGCAATATCCACAAAAGGTTAAGCAGTGGGGTGGATGGCTCGGCTGAAAAGCGATTTGATCGATTGTTCGGCTTTTGCAGTCAACAAGTCGTTGGGTATGCAAACTGTGCAATACTCGTCCGGCACAATATGCAACTGGCTCCTACTAGACACACACGTAAGTGTAGCACCGTATGTTTCCATAGGGAAGCGAGCAAAGCGAAGGGCAAAGGCTGCGGGCAGACTGGTTCTCCCACGTGTCGTCGACGATGTCGCCGGGCACCTGCTCCAGGCACGTTTCTCCGTCCTTGGAGCTCCTACCGCGCGTCCAACCTCGCCTGGCCGCGAGCCTCAGCCAGACGAAGTTCCCCATTGGCACAAGCTGTAGCAGTAGTCGGCCGATCATCAATCATTCGATAAGATGGTGCCTTCCTTGTCCAAGCTCTATGCCATCGTTGTTGGTCTCAGTCATCAGTGTTTTGCGCAACTCGACGGGCTCACGTGAAGGTATTCCAAGTAGCAGCCAAGCTTCTCAGAGGGGGGTCACACTCAGTAGGAGGACATCATGTACGCACCAATCAAAGCAGCCGTAAATCAAGTATCCACAACAGCCACGTACCTTGATGAAGTCGGCGAACGCGATGCCGCCCGGAGTCGTACGCACACTTGGGCAAGCCCGACCGACCATCATCAGCGGCACATGATATACCATTAAACAAGAGCAGCAACGACGGTGTCTGGCCACGCACCTGAACGACCTCGACGGTTTCCATAGGGAAGATTCCTTCCCCTGTGCGTGGCGATACTTCGTCGGGGTGGGTTTTTATCCACTGCGCCCCACCAAACTCCGGTACCCTATGGGAGAAGCACCCCTCCGCCCTGCCAGGGCAATGAGACCAGACGATCAACCACGAGCGTCTCGAGCAACAGCAAAAAGGATGAATTCCTCCCTCACCCTGCGCTGTCTTCTGGAAGAATGCCGGCGACTACGATCACTTACAGCGGCTCGCAATGACAGCGAGGCTAGACTGCCAAATCAAAACAAACATCCCAAATAAGTGCGGCAAAGATCGATTCACCACTGCGCCATGTTCATACCCACCTGTGCCGCATTGACGAGCAGCCAGCGTGGTTTCGCGAGCACAAGGGATAAAGTTAACCATGTAAGAAACACGTGGGAAAAAGGTGAACATGTACGATATACTCAAGCACAAGTACCGTAAGTACCACGCCGTCCGACTAACCCTTGCCCCCAGTAGTCGTTTTCCGGCGGGGTAATGCCCTTCAGGAACAGGCTGTACATGCGTGCATTGATGGCCACCATCCACTTGTTCATTTCCTCCTCGTCCTTGGCGGCTAGGCACCACTGCGGATGTCCGGCCCAGATATCACCATTAAGCCGAGGGCAAGGGGCCGAAAAACAAAACGGGATGGTGGTGGCTCACACAAGAAGGAAAAGGAAAGAACGAGGGAGATAATCTACGGGAAGTTAAGAAAGATTCGGCCACTGAGTCAATCCGCCCTAGGTCAAGACCGACCAGAGATTCGGGACAAGAACAACGTCCCCCGCTACTCGCTGATGTTGGCACGTCATGGACGTCGAGTTTCCTGATTTCCTGATGTCGAGCCAACCACTATGGCTCGTTTGATTCGTCAACAACTCTGGTGATGATCGGTGATGCGGTCTCTCTTTGACTGCTTCGCCGTCTTGCCGCTTCGGTGAGACGGCTTATCGCGAGAATACCAAATGCCTTCACACGAGCAGAGCACCATCGAAACTCCGAGCGAACACCGCCAACGAGGGGATTTGTGCCGCAGCCGATAGCAACCTTGTACTATTCACGATACGCCCGAAAGCATTTACACGGTACGCGTACTTGACCAACTCCTGGGTCACCGACTAGGGTGACACAAGGTCTCTTCACCTGGCCTGTGCGAACGGCGAAGCAGTTCTTCGTGTTGCTGAAGGGCGTCGTAGAGCGGCTGGTGAGCTCCAGCGTCTGTGGCTTCAGGAAATGCAGCTCCAATGTGTCCAAGGTGGGGGAGACGGCATACCGACCGCGCTGACCTCAAAATAACGAAGGCTTGGCGTACTTCTTGCGTTGCCGAGCCTTTCTCGAGACCAATATGCACCTGTTATCCTTCTTATCTGTAGTCCGCGTAGAACTTCGACCCGTTCGACCCATCGATGTGTCTTTGAGCCCACCTTGCCACCCAATTCCATCCTGTGGTAGTCGAATTCGATGAGGCACGTCGTCCTGTGATAGACGAGGTGATCATCCTCCAAGTTGAGAGAGGTCCATGGACTGCTTCAAGAGATAGCCTTGACACAGAAAAAGAATCTTGCATCGTGATGGCATCGAAGTAGCAAAAGAGCAGCGTGTCAACACCGACACACCACGTCGCCCACCGAACCTTGTCACAACGGGTTCAGGAATAGAAGGGGAAGGGCTGGGAGCGGGCAGTGAATGCAGAGCATCTCGAATGAGACCTTCGCTAGGCCAGCTTTCACTCCAGCCAACGACGAGCACGAGCCGTTCCACTCACCTCCATGCCCTCTTCCATCGCTTCTGCGAATGCAGTCTCGTTGTGGTACCGCCGACCGGTAAACATGGGACTGGTGAAGACACTATGTAGGAAGAAACTGCGTCGTTCTCCACATTCTGCTTGGGCGGGGGGCTTGCCACGAAGAAAGGTGCGCACGGGGCAGCAGACGGGAGAATCAAGAGACAATATATGAGCCGAGAGAGAGAGAGAGAGAGAGAAAAGAAGTCGCCGCAAAAGAATGTGCTTGGTCGACTCGACTGGCTGATCATGCGTGTGCCACTAACCCTAACCCCAAGCAGCATTTCACCTCGTCTCATCTCATGCCCTAGACCTACTCGGTGAAAGCAGAGACAAAGGAAGAAAGAGAGTCTTTTCAGCCGGGGTGTCGTCTGAAGTTCGTCCTAATGTACCGATTTTTCTTGTAGGGGAGGCGAAGTCTTAACTATCAGTGGCAGCAGCGGTAACGGCACACGCAACTTATCAAGCAGGCAAGAAGCAGGCCTTACCTGGGTTCGGCGGCCTTCAGCATCTGCGAGCCGAGCAGCTCCTCGACCGACCCCGTACGCCGCCGTATCAGGCGCGGTTCGACAAAGCCGCCGATACGAGGTCGAAGGAAACATCATCCTGCGAGAACAAAGCGAGCAAGTAGCAGCAGTAGCAGCAGTAGTAGCAGCAGCGGCAACATAGCAGCGCCGTTTCGGACGATATACGTTTGATCCGTATGGAAACCTCGACCGGGCCGCCCGTTTGGTATTTATTCCGCCTCACCGCGCCGCCAACTCCAGACATCCATCCCATCCCGTCCGTGCCTAGACCTACGTGATATCCTGTTGTCGACTGCGAACATGAACTACGGCCGACGGTATCTTCTGAACTGTACCTGAACTATCCCAGCCGATCCGTGTGTACCGCGGCAACCCGCTTCGTGGCAGCGCTGGCGGCAGTCGCGACAACGGCAGCGACCTCCTTGTCCTTTTCCTTGTCCTTCTCTGCCACCGTCGCGGTGGCAGCCGCTTTCGCTTTCGCTGCCACCACCGCCTCCGCCTGCGCCGTCGCTTTCTGCTTGGCCTGCTTCTCCTTCTCTGCGTGCGCCTTTTCGGCTTCCCGAACCTCTTCTCGGCTCGCCTCCGCCACCAAGACTGGAACTCTCTGCAGCAACCAATTATATAACCACGTTTTCCCGCAGACGGCACAAACGCGTAGACATTCGCCAGAACCAGACGTCCCGACTTTTGCCGTACACAAAGAACATCGAAGTCCACACACGTTCTTGGAAGACCCCGGCAATACATGAACCGCATTGACCTCCTGGCGCCCGAGAGATAGTGGGCCACAACAGCGAACGTCCAACGTCCACCACAGCGCCAACAGCCAACGTTGACGCCGGTGATGGCGACGAGCTCAGGTTGCTTCAGCGCCCGCGTCAAGAGACCACCGGACTACACCAAACAGAAGAAAATGCAAAACACAACCGCAAACGACAGTCAATCCAACCTGAGCGAGATCGCCGCCTTCTCCCCGGCGGCCATGACGCCCCCCGCCGAAGCCTTGGCCTTCTCGAACGCATTATTCTGGTGACGGAAAGCCTGCGCGGCGCTCTCGGCCCCGTTCACCACGGGTCGTGCCTCCCCCTCGAAGACGATAACCTTGACCGTGGCGGCGGCCGTCATCATCTGCGTCTTTTCCACCTGGCAAAGGTCTGCCGCTTTCTGGGCGCCCGGGGCCAGCTCCTTGACCTCGTCGAAGTCCGCCTTGAGGCTGTTCAGGTTATCTTCTAGGCGGCGTAGCGCCGCCGCTTCGTCACCGCCCTTGGCGTTCTTGATATACGCCTCCAGCACGGAGGCTCTGAGTTACACACGAACGCAGAGGCACGCATCGGTCGCAAGGGCGGGGTGTGAACAACGTGCCATGAAGGTGAAGGTCAAGGCGAAAGGATGGATAGGACTGGGTTGGCAAAAAGAGAAAAATGACATCTCGCACGACTCGGTTCACGACAGGGTTCTGATGGCGGCAATCGGATTCAAGAGAATACTTGCGCCCAAGTTGTTGCGGCAGCGAAGATTCGTGACCGCGGAATAGAAGCTGGCACCACAAAGAACATGCGGAGAGATAAAGGGAGACTGAAAGATAAAGCCTTCTGTGCAATAGTAAGTGGTTATTGGTTCGTACGTGGAGTAGTCAGGAGTTTGCATCGAATCGAATCAAAAGGGCCGACTACAGGGACCTTCAGGTTTGTGCGCGGCTTGCTTGTGTAATGCTTGCTTTGCTTGCTCACTTGGTGGCGGAGTCGTTGATATCCGCGAGCGTTGTCTCAACAGCGGCGACTACGCGATCCTTGGCCCCCACGGCGTGTGTACCGATCTGGTCTTCGTCCACAGCAGCCAGGAGTTTTTGCACCTAGGGCATCGTGCGTAGCGTATCATGCAGCAGCGTACATTCGACCAGCAGAGGCATGTGTGGGACCAGGCGTAAAAAGAGGAAGATGGTATCTCGGATGCATGCGGGCGGCAGGTCCAGATAGAGGCGGCGGCGGTCTCAGCAGAGAGATGTGCGCCACTGTCCCCCCCCCTGGGTATGCCATCCTTTTTTGGTTCCTTTAGGGTACAGCCCCACCGCAAAGGTTTGGTGCGTCCTATCCTATCCTGCGTACACCGATGACCACAAGAAGCGCTCCGCACCATGCCACAAGTAGAATACTCTCCACCAAGAGGCTGGCACACCGGCTCTCGCATGCGTATATCTCCACCGCGGTACGAGCATGCCAATAAAAGCTTATCTAGATCGCACCATCCTGGACCAGCCGCCGGCCACACGGACAAACTCGGCCGCCTTCACCAGCGGGACCAGGTCTTCCTCGCTCACGGCCGCCTGTACGCCAAGCACCATTGACGTCGCGTCACTCGCGTTCGCCATGGCACTCTCCACCTTCTCCTGGGCCGCCTGTGGTTGTGTAGGTAGGTTCAACGGTAGGTGGTTTCGATGGATCGATTGAGTCGGAATGGCGCCGGGAGGATGGATGTCCTGTGCTTCTTTCGAGGGGCAGGGGGGAAGCTGCTGTTGTTGCGGGTCGGCTATGGGGGGGCTGGGGTTGCAGCTGGGTTCTTCGTTCTCGTTGATTTCGAGAGTAACGCCAAGGCGTTGCTGGAAATCCAAATGCGGGTGTCGTGCGACTCAGGTTCCGCTGAAAAACACAGGAAAAAACGCAGACAAACAAAAAAATGGATCTTGATACGCCCGGACATTGCCATCCTCAATGGACGACCACGGTGCTCACAAAGTAGTAAATAAAAGGGCGGTTCTACTGCTGCTGTATGGGCACGAGGGATAAACAAAACCGTGTGACTCTTCCACAAGCAGGGAATGAGAGTATTGAATGAGTCATCGATGGCAGTCGCCGCACCACCAGCACGGGAGAGGATGAGGAAGACAGGGTTTTACGGTGCACGGTCACTGCAAATGAACGAACAGAAGCGAGAGCGGCAGAGAGACTCACACTCACCTGCATTGCCTCTGCTGGACATACTAGCCTCACTCATGTTTGAAATGCTGGCTCCCTTGATCCAGTGAGGGACACACAACACCCCCAAAGTGCGTGTCTCTCGATCGACTGTCCCGTGTTTTAGCACCCCCCGCACGCAATAAGCAAGAACTTGCATCATACACCGTCCACCAAGCCATCGACACCAGGGTGGCGGGGGATCGGCGCCAGGACGTAAACATGTGTGTGCGTGTTGTATTCGGTCACCGACTTCCGCACCTCACTGATTTCTGATTATTCAATGGCGTGGCTGTGGTTTTTCGACGTTGCCGTTGGAGTCGACGAGGCATGTACGAATCCGAGCTGAATTCCGGGGAACTTGCGACCGCCGGGTTGGAAGACCCCTATGAATATTTCAGCTCGCTACACCGTTACACCAAGCTTCGTGACCATTCCATACCGAAAGGGCGTCAGAGTAGCGTTGGGTTCACGGGTCTGAAGTCTGAAGAGCGAGGCGTTGGATTCAAAGCTCAAAAGTAATCGCGTGTGCTCAGCTTGATATCCCATAGCTACGAGTGAAGTTGCAACAGGGCCTTCACCAATTCTGAGAGCGACGAAAGCGAGCTTTTCAGTGGGCAACAAGTTTCATTGACACAAGGGGGGTTTTTCTGGTTTCTGTGGTGAGTTTACATGTGCGCGGAAAAAATACGAAATGAAACGGTTGACGGTCGTTCTCGTCGACTACCCGCGAAGAGCTGCAAGAACAACGCAAGCGTCCGAGCAGGTAGCTACAGAATGCCGCATAGCCTAGGCTGCAGTTCATACTTATTTAGAACGCTTCGTCCAGCGGTCGGTGGCAGGGCCGTTTTTCCCCTCTTCGGGGGCAATCGCCCTCTCGTGGATCAATCACAGATAACCCCAGGTACAGCAGTGTGTCAGGATTGAGGAGTGCGGGTGTTTCAAGCCGTAGACTGCGTGGATTCTATCTGAACTCAATTCATTTCTTTGTCGAGCAGCGACGTTCTTGCCGCAATACACATGGCTTCAGAGTACTGGGTATCGACGAGCGATTGAACCAACTGGGAGGACGCTAGAGCACGGGAGAGGGAGAGAGTCGTCGCCATGGCCATGTGATGAGTTGCCGCTCCAAACGAAGATGCGCGTGTTGCGTGTAGTTTAGCGCTACTTTCCCCTGCGTAACGCCAAACGAATTTCACTACGGCCTGTCGGTCGAGTACAAGATTGGGGTTGCAGTCCTTGTGCGCAAGAGACTACTTCGCCCGGCATCTTCTTCGGTGTGTTCATGTAGTGGTGGCCTTCATATCAGGTTGGGAAACGCTCGACCGATATCGCCGGCGATTCTCGGTATCAATGTTCATTCGACGCCCTGCTCTGTCCAGCGTTAAGCGGGGAGCCATTGAAAACATAACAGCTCCAAAATAACGTACTTCGAGTATGCGTTTTTTGCTTCGGCGCTGATCTTGCTTGAATGGTTTCACTGTTATGCCAGCATTCTGCGCGAGGATCATCCTTTGAAACATCAATGAGCATTATAAACTTTTCACCGTTAGACTAGTCGGCGTACGACACGAACTGTCGCATGGGGCGTTTTGTTTGATTTCTCGAAACACGGATGCCTACGGCGACTCTTGTGAAAGCTTTAGGAGAGTTGGTGGGGACCATGCCAGCCTCTTCGTCGAGCACAACCGTATCGTCGACACAGGCGACTTCGACGACGAAAACCACGGATTATCGGCAGCCGCTGCACCAACAACCATCACCACCACGTAGTACTCCGCCAGCATTGGCGACGACCTCGAATCTCTAGCCCCCGCCTCTTGTTACAGGGGAGTCGTTTTCGTCGCCATCGACCTCCCAGGCTGCACACGCCCTAGATCCTTTGACTAGCAACAGCGCGCCGTCAGACGTTCCAACAGGTAACGCTGGTGCCGTGCCACGTAAACGCTGTCTCCAACGAAGGGCGACGGCTAGCCCGGACAGCAGTGTTGGCGATGGCGGCAGACGTAGCTGCTCCTGCGGCGGCAAGGCTAGAAGAAGCCGAAGCAGCGGCAGCAGCAGCAGAAGCAGCAGTAGCAGCATTAGCGGTGTCAGGTGCCAACTCCGGTGGTTCGGAGGCGTCGGGTCGTGGCCCTCAAGAACTAGTTGCTCTACTACTTGGTGGACCACTTGGAAGAGGACGGGCGGTGTGTGCGTGTTCTGGGTGTCGATAGATATCAAGGACTGCTCCTTGGCGACGGGTCGGCCAACCACCGCGGGAACTCTCGGTTTTCTCGCCGATATGTGCTTCGTCAAATCTATCTTCGGCCTTCGCTTGCCTGATCCACGCCGTTGTCACATCAAAAGGCCTGTCCTGTACTTGAAGGACGGTGTAGAGGAACTCCAACTTCAGGACGAGTGGGACCAGCGAGAAATGCTCCAAACCCAGCAGGCACGGCGCCGGGACGCCGATCCAGGGACTCGCGCGGAGGTTGAAACGTGGGGATGCGAAACAGATGCCACAGGGGCAGTGTTTCGATCTGGTAGGAGATCACAAGACTCGGCTATACTGGCGTCGGGGGCATAATGGCTAGTGAAACGCGCATGGTTCCAACTAATCTAGTGCCCGATGAAAATTGGCAGTTACGACGCTCTGGTTACAGTTTGCGTTGAGGGTGCCAGTGGTACTACATGCCAGAGAGAAAACAAGAAACACCCAGCTTGGGCAGTAGCTGCAAATGGACATCATTCGGGTGTTGTGCGCGGGTCATCGAATCTTCTATGTAGCATGTACACTGTGCATCAATTTGCGGTGTATGGCTTGGTTACAAGTGCGCCCCCGCTTGGGACATCGTGGGAAACGTGAGTTATGTCTGTCTTCTTTCCGGGGGAGTCTTGCGCTTCCATATCTGACTTGACATTCCCGTCTTTAACGCATGTTCTAAGGTTGGTCCGGACTTGCAAGCCGGCCAGAGGGTTGTGAGCCAGAGGGTGTGCCTAAATGGAGTGAAGGCGGACGAATTGACACTGACGGAGGTGAGTGTAGAAGCCTTGGCATAGCGACATTCTGGTGGATCGTCCTTTGGTGCTTGGTTGTAGTGAATACGGTGCGGGGGCGTCCTATCGGCAAGCGCCGTTGCTTGTCTACCACGTTTCGTGAGAAGTTCATCGCCAGAGACCGCTTGTTCCCTCGCCATGTCAGCGTCTTGGCAGCACCAAAGATCATGAAAGTAGCGAACAGAGCGCGGCACGTTGCAGAGCTACAGACAGGCTCACGCATTGCCGACTTTTTCGAATACACATCAGAGCACTGGGGTCCATGCAAATGTCAAGTGACGACACAAATAGAAAAACCGCTTCCCTGCGTACAATTGTGAGACTGTCACATTATGGGAAACACGTGAAATACGACCGAAAATGGGGATTTTATATGTATTAGTGGTCGGGGATCGAATCGCTAAGGCAAGCAGCGAGTAAATGTTTCCACCTCCCCCCCCCGCGATATCCCCTTTGGCCAGCTAGCTCCGTGCATGCTTCCCACAAGGTGGAAGCTCACAGCGAGCTGATAAAGCAGCTGTAAGCTTCAACTTGAAGCACGTGACTATTTCGATGGGTGAGTCGAGTCGACACCGAAGGCCGTTGCAACGAAAAAGTGCGTAGGGCAGGAGCCGTGGAGGTCAGTTTTTCCCTTCGGTGCGCATGGTTACTTGCTGATGAGTAGGGGCGAGTACGATTGCCGCCTTTGTGCGAATGAATGGCTCGTTTCGCCTCCGCAAGAGGTTGGTAATCGCCGGACATGGCGATGTTGCCCCTGAACACTACCGCGGCTTGAACGGCGTGACATCAAGGCAAATCCCCAGAGTTGGAGCAGGTGACCGTTTCTTCATGAATAGATGCTGGAAGTTCTCGGACAACACGTTTGAGGGGTGAGATCAAGTACGTGGGAGCATACTTCCACACGACGCCGGAGGGCGGATGAAGGGTTCAAGGCGCATAATGTATGATTCTGCTTGAGGTGACCTGAACCTGTAGACAATCCGGTATGCACGTCTCGCTGGTTCTCTGTGAGAAGACGGATAAAATCGTTGCCTTTCCCCGTTCGCCGTGCCAGGCGGCCATGGGACGGTACCGGGTCGAGCCCCGACGCCAATTATTCGGACACCATTGTCGGCAGTCAAGCCGCATTCTTTGACTCATTCAAGCAAATACTCACCGGGCGGGGTGGTCACCGCGAAAGAACGGCGTGCCGATGTGAAGGTTGGGGGCGAGGGCAGCACCTTCTCAGTCAACGCCGAAACCTCTGCGGTGAGCGAAACAACAGTAAGGGCCAAGTTGCCTGGAGTGGGCAGCGTTGTAGCCGAACACCCACTTCGAGAGGGTTCAATGGTCGCTCCAGGACGGAGGGAAACGAACGACTGGGACTCTGCCTTGCCACACAGGGATGAAAGTATTCCTGCTCCTGCCGTCGCCTCAGTTGCCGTGGGGGAAGCGGCGACGCATGATTTCAACAGCGGTAACGAGGGAAACGGTGCTCGATGTGCTGTTGAGACAAACCAAGCCGTACGAACCAAGCCAGGAAGATTTTTCCGCCGCCACTGCCGCCGCAGCGCCGCTGCCATGGGGGGTTCTTGTGGAGGTGCTGCGGCGGGGGGATCATCACTTCTGAAGAAACCGGTATCGACGACGTACAGCAAGGCAGCTATTCGCCCACCATCGGGCAAGGGGAAAATCGAAACCTCGACGATTCTACGTCGGACGTTGCGGCTTCCCCAAAGGGTCGGCTGCCTAGATGTCAGGACGGCGCGGTGAGGGGGGAGAACCTCGCGCGTCCTACCCCGATGAGCGGCAGTGAACGCTGCCAGCGTGAGCAATGGCGCGATACACAGAGATCGGCCGACAATCTGCGAGAAAGGTCGAGAATAGATCGAGCGTCTGGGTACGTCCTACCGGGGCCCTGCAACGGGAGAGCGCAAAGAGCCCGAATATTCCACCGGCGACGAACGAAGAAGGCACCCGTTGTCTTGCACCCTTTACATGGACGGGGCAAGGAAGAGATAAGAGTGAATACTCGAAAAACACCACCTCCGCTAAACTCGTACGGTCTACGTCACGGCCTGCGGGACCTTGCGATTGATGCTTTTTAGTAGTGCTTGATAGATACCTGTGGGTCTAATGCCTTATATATAAGTTGGGGGTTTCTTACGGGCAAACATCACCAACCAGATTGTGTCGTTTTGTGTCGTGCAAGGCTCTTGCCAGACATGGCAGCGGGAAATTCTTCGCTCGAGGCACCCCGCGCGGTGCATTGAACCTCAGTAGGTCGCCTTCAGCTGCCAGGTCTTGGCCTATCGGCCATTCTTAGGCTCGACATACGCGTGCACAGGTTACCTATTACACGCACATGCGTCCCAGACATCCTGTCGGAGAATTACGAATGGATTGGCAATAGAGCAAGTGCCCAGCTCAAGCAGGCAGCGTAGATGGGTCGCGTGATAATAACGGAGGCTCCAAGAAAATATCCACAAACGTCTCCACGAATGGCGACACGGCCCAAGACCGTAGTATGCTTAGTGTCGAGCACACCGCCGACAACTGGTGCGTGGTCAGGGTTAGCACAGGACCGGATTGACCGCCGGCCTTGCAACCTTGGTAAATTGGGCAACATATCAGTTACACGCACACCACACGCGAACGGCCTCGGTGGCATGTGCTTGTTAAATGTTGAGCGCAGCACTTTCAAATATTCGTAGTACTTCGACAGAATAGTCTGGGATGAGGGTGGTGAACCGCCGTACTGTGCGATGGGTCCGTAGGCAATGAATGCCACATCAACATTTTCTATGCACCTATCTAAACATGGCCAACATGTCTGTCTCACTAGAATACCAACATGAAATCACCACCCAGCAAGGAGACCTCTGTCAATAGGTGACTCGCCACGATACACCCTTACATTTCGTTCGCTGAGGTTGAGCATGTTGCCTGAAGTTCAACTTCACCGACCGACTCGTAAACCACGGCCTCGCATCACAGACGTTCGACATCCGCCGCCGCCACGGGTTTCTCATCCTTCGTGAAGTATCCTCGTTCGATATGTGCATCGGTACAAGCTCAACACCGGCGAGCCCGTTCTCCCCACTCATTGGCTTCACGCCGTCTGCTGCCTCCAGTGCCTCCCCCCGGGTTGACACACCGACGACGTTGGCTTTTCTTCTCTACTCTGTCTCGACTAATAGCCCGAAGGCGTTTGGGAAGCGTCGCCAGTTTCGAGTAGTCCTTGTCCTCTTCAGCCGCCGATTTGAAGTTGTCCTGGTCCTCTTCAACAGTCAATTTCGAGCACTCTGTGTCCTCCTCAACTGCCAATTTAGAGTAGTCCCCCTCACCTCACGTGTACGTAGGGTGGAAGACAGCGGAAGCCTCTTCGGCCGCCGCTCGAGTCGTCGTCTGGGTGGTCGCGCTCTCCTCGCCTTGGGCCGCGGCTTGAAGCAGCACCCCGATATCCCGAATTCTTCTCGTTCTTCCTCGCAGATTGTTGGCCGGCAAGTGTACCGCGCGATTGCTCACACCGCTCGCCGCTCATCGACTGGTAAGAATTTCCGTGGCGTGCGTAGTCTGCCTTAGGCCAGCATGTTCGCTGCTCCGCCCCCTCACCCCTACGTCGTCATTGCTAGACTTCCGACGCTTCTGAGAAGCGGCTTCTATCGTTGTGGAGGATGCCAAGCCTCGCGTTTTCCCATCCCCGTATTGGATTGTTGACGAAGAACCCCGTTTTCTTCGCCTTCCGCTGGCAACGTGCCGGCCGCCTCCCCCGCTTGACCGCTCCCGGTGGGAGACATGGCGGCGTCCCTGGTCCGACAAGACCTCTGGGCCATTTCTTCGGTAGCACATAGCTCCAAGCCCACCCTTCCTCTTCAGCCGTTCGTTGACACTTGATTTGCCTTGACCGTCACGGACTTTCTTTGTGGTTACACCTGGTACCGTGGCTGATAGGGTCATGAGCACTCGAGTCGTGAGGCATGTGACAGCGGTCACCGCGGTAAGGGAAGGGATTGTCCCACTCGCTGTGGCTGCTAGTTTGCTGTGCCCTTGGAGGTTCAACGCCGGACTTCCTCGCCATTCCCTCGCGGTAGTAACCCCTACAAGACGAAGTTTGTTCGTTTGTCGAGAGATTGACGAATAGCGTCGACGACATCCCGCCGGCGATAACGTTGATGGCGCACAAAGATAGGAATCCGGATCGTCGTCAGGGCTGAGGACGCGGTCGGACGGCCTGCCTCGTGTGTCGCCCACCATGCCAGGCCTTTCATCGGCGTCTTCTGCGCTCCCAGGACCGCCTAAATTTCTACTCGTTGGGACGGTCCTGGCTTGGCCGCTTTCGGTATTGCCACTCGCAGCGGTTGTCGTGGCGGGGGCCCTGGGTCCTCTTGGCTCTTTCCGATACACGATGGGCTCGGGCTGTCGGTAACGTGGCGCGCGGACCAATCGTTTCAGTCTGTCTGCTCTTGGACCCCGCGAGTACCGCCTCGTTCAGCGCTGCTGCTGTCACCACGTTCACGCAAGCATCAGAGCCTGCCGCAGCGGCGGCGGTAGTCTCTTCCTTTTCCTCATGGCCAGGCGGATGTGGCGTGGTTGTCACCGACAGCACATCGTTAATCTTGTTCGTGTTGTCTGGGCTGCCGCTGTTGCAGTCGGGCGTGGCCGCTTCCCCCGCGGCTGCCGAGTTGGTGTCCGGACAAGGAATGGATAAAGGCTGACAGTACCCCTTTCACCACAACCAAGCACCAACGGACGAATGACCAGAGCGCCGCCACGCCAAGCCCTCGACACCCACCTCCGCCAGCGTCAGCTCATCCGCCTCGATACCGTTGGCGCACACCAGCTGACGCACAACCCTCTGGTCGGCTTGCAAGTCCGAAACAACCTATAAGACGAGTTGGAGGCGTAAACACCAAGTCAGACGGAGGAAGCACACGACCCAACCCACAAGACTGGGGAAGAATGACACACGCAATCCACCTTCCCGCTTGGGACCAAGGGCACAAAAGACGGTCGAATGCCGCAACGCATCCATGTTACGCCTGTATTTCGATTGCGTGCGCATGACAAGAGGATGACCTTCTCATGAAAGTACAATTCTCTGGCTTTTACCGTACTACGGGCGCCCTCAACAACATGTGTAAAGGTGTAGATATGACGACCAGAGCGAGTAATGTCGAATCGCACCTGCCAATCTTCATGGGACACTCGGTCGAATGGCGCAGCACGCGTTTCACGAGCAAGTATGCCCCCGACGCCCATAGCCGAGTCTTGCGATCTCCCACCAGATCGAAATACTGCCCCTGTGGCGTTCGGTTCGCATCCCCACGCTTCAACCTCCGCCCGAGTCCTTGCATCGGCGTCCTGGTGCCGCGCCTACTGGGTTAGGAGCATTTCTCGCTGGTCCCACTCGTCCTGAAGCTGGAGTTCCTCTCCATCGTCCTTCAAGTACAGGACAGGCCTTTCGACGTGACAGCGGAGTGGACCAGGCAAGAAAAGGCATAAAATTGATTGTAGGAAGCCCGCGTCGGCGGGGATTCCGACAGTTCCCGCGGTGGTTGGCCTCCGACCTCTCGCCAAATAGCAGTCCTTGGAAATCCTGCAACAGCCAGAACACACACTCACTGACCATCATCTTCGGTGTGCTCCACCAAGGAGTCGAGCAGCTCTTCCAAGTCATGAGGGCCACGACCCGACGTCGTACTCATGATCGAACTCGCTCGAGTCGAAGCAACCGTTGTGCTCGATAGAGTGGCCGGCACGGTTCCCAGTTCTCGTGGGGCGTTCCTAGGGGTGGCCGGATGATATCCGATCTTTCAGAAATCAAGCAAAAGGCCTCATGCGATAGTTCGTGTTGCACAGCGATCAACGGAGAAAAGTTGATGAATTTCCATTAGTCTAGAATACTCTACTGGTGTTGAACTTCCTCCGTACAGCATGCTGGAAACAGGGCCCTTTATATCAAGAGAAACCAAGTGCTGAAAGTGATGACCGCTTACTTCGAAAAACTTTATGTTGGACTAATGTGATACTCTGTTTCGAAGGTTCTCCGGAGAAGAAACGCGCAGAATGAATCGGCTATCCAGGGCACACAAAAGCAATTTGACCCAGCACTCCCCCGTCAGCCGGCCGAAAACAAAGTTGTAGGTTTCAAACAAACAGACATACGAAACATGTTTCGAAGTCTATTTGACGCCAGTAGATCAGCAACATATTGACGATAAGGAACACATCTAACCCATCGTGCGGTCCTTGTTGTTAATTGAATGCATTACAACTTGTCGAGCAAAACCATGGCCAATGTCCATCTCTGTGTTCGTATGGAACGAACCTGTCTGAACTAATAGTCCAATGAAGAGCAGCAATTTGTCGGCAATGAAAATATTCCGGAGCAAACCAACGTTGAACTCGGGTAGTCTGAAGGGGATTGCTTGTTTTCTTCCAAGCAGTTACTGCCCCATTCTCTGGCCGTCACGAATGTGTGTATATATCTATGCGTGCATATGTGCGGGAGGGCGTATCGTCAGCTCCTCGTCGCAAGATCGCGTTTCGTTCGGTGCTCAACTACCAAGGGAGGAAGGAATCGGAGCAGCTAACCTGCACACACGTTCCACACTGCCCAATCTCATCACACGAGGTAAGTGTATTGATCCACGTATGTAGGTCTAAATCCCATACATTTCAGAGGTTATTGGATAAGGTAGTACCTACATCCTTTGTTACCCCCCTAGTACTGGAAGCCCAAATCCGGACACCTTGGGGACACAGCACTCAAAGGCCTAGTTACCGTTCTGTAGTCCCCCTAGGCTCCGCTGCGTGCAATGCACGTGAGAACCTTTGGTCAATCGTGCTTGGCTGAGGTGGTACGCTGTGTGATATGCTGTGCAATACCTCTACTGGGTCTCTGACGTTCTGTACACATCCCCCAAGCCGCGTGTCTCCTACGTCGTAAAACCAATGTACATCGCCTGGTACCGAAAAAAATTGTTGACTTGGCTTCAGTATAAATAGTGTCCCCACTATTTCGGGACACGTCTCATACTGAAGCCAAGTCACCCTTTACCTGGCAAAGAGCCCAGATTCTTTGGAGGGACTGTAGCCCCTCGACTAATGGCTGACAAACTTTTTCGAGGCATTTTGTTGCGGAGGAACTGGGTACTACTATTGTAGCAAGGTTAATGACGAGGTATACATAAATACAGTATTTTTTTCCGCTCTTCGATGTTTGCCATCGGAATTGGGTTTCGTCGCTTGGCAAGGACGTTGTACAACAAGCCCTCCCCTCGGTGTTTGCCATCGGGAATGGGCTTTTGTCGCTTGGCAGCCACGTTGTGAAACAAGCCAATTCACTTCGTGAACTCGGCAACCAGGTTTCCGTTTTTTTTTCACCTCTGTTCTTTTTTGCGGTAACCATAATGAATGGTGGTCGAGTAGATCATGTTGTGCGGGGTGGAGAACCCTCACTCCACGCAAGCGGGATGATTGCACCACGTTGTGTTAGTATGGTCAAGCATCCTCGAGGCAGTTAAACAGCGTTTACAACTGTCTCTGGAAGTGAAAGCACCAGAAAATACATTTAGTCATAGACTATGCAGCTGTCATCCGTACGCAAGGAAGTAAGCACAAGATGCCGAACACCCTTAGCAGGATGCAGCGCACCCTTAATGCGACTCGCCGAATACCTCATGGCGCTTCGCGCGTGGTGATGTGAGAGCCTGGTCCGGTGAGAACCCGGCGTGCTCCGTCCCGGCTTTGTAGGGATGCGAGGTCAAT